ATGAGATCGCCCCTCCTTAACCTTCGTTCGAGCGAGTACAGTCTCAACACTTCTAAACGTTTATCGTATGATAGTCCCCTGACCTCCTTAATCATTCTTGTGGCCCTCCTCTGCACTCCCTCGAGCGCCAACAAATCGCCCTTATTTGTAGGCCTCCAAAACTGGATGCAATATTCCAACTGGGGTCTTATCAACACTGCATACAACGGAAGAATAACGCGAGATGCGCTAATTGCAAACGACCGACGAATGTAACCTAGAATCCTGTTGCATTTCGCCACCGTCGCTTGCGCGTGCGAGGAAAACTTGAGGTCCTCATCGATAGAAACTCCTATATCTCTCTCTCCGTTTGCCTCATCCAATTTAACATCGCCGAATTTGTCGAGAGACCTCCCGTTGTTTCGACCGACGTGGAGAACTTTACACTTACTTTTATTAAACCTCGTGAGCCTTTTCTTGCACCACTCGTCCAAAAGAATTAAATCTCGCTCGGCTTTAGCCCTATCCGCCTCCCCCCTTACGGTAAAACCTATCTTGGTGTCGTCGGCAAATTTACTCATCTTACCCTCTACGCCGAGATTCAAATCGTTTATGTAGACCAAAAATAGAAGCGGTCCAAGGACCGAGCCTCGAGGGACACTGCTTGCGACTCCGACCTCCTCCGAAGCTTCCCCATTTATCATCACCCGTTGCTCTCGTCCTGCCAACCAGCTACCGATCCACTCGCTCGTCCTACCCTGGATCCCGTGCGCCTCCAGTTTAACCTGCAACCTCTTGTGAGGAACGGTATCGAAAGCTTTCGTGAAATCTAAATAGAAGATGTCCACGGGATTCCCCTCATCCCTCTCTTCCGTCGTAGAATTCGTCGTAGAAGTCGTAGAATTCGAGCAAATTGGTCAGACAATTTCGACGCCTCCTAAAGCCGTGTTGAGACTCCCGAATGAGCGCGTTTCTTTCGAGGAAATCCATGAGATGGTCCCTTAGTATGCTCTCCAAGATCTTCCCTGGGATACTCGTGAGACTTACCGGCCTGTAATTTGACTGCTTTATGTCTGAAATTAACGTCTTTCTTCGCTTCTCGCATCTTTCCATTGTAAATGATGATATCTGAGATTGCTCCTTTTTGTAACAAGCCATCCTTTCAAGAAACACTAACGAAATCTCATTTCACGTGAGTAACCCTTCATGGAAAGACATTTCAAGCATATATTCACAACACAGTCAGCATGCATCATTAAACGCCAACGCAATGTCCCCTTATAGCATACATAACAAAAGTTGACTGCTTGCCAATCACAACGTTACATGGAATCTATTCGTCCTTTCCCCACATGAGTAATCGCAATTTCAAAATGGTGAGATAAATCCAGGCAGCCTGTATAAAGGATTTCGTTTAAATATATACGAATCTTTGGCAGCAAAATTGAAGCTGACTTTGGGTGATATGCACCACATCGGTTTAGGAGCTAAACTGACCTGATTCTAGGCAAACACCCTTGAGAATGAGTTAAACTCGTCTTTAAACCGATATGTGACATGCACCAAATTAAATCGGTTTATTTTTTTCCTAAACTAATCTCGAAAGATGAACTCGTTCCATAGCAATTTAATCTCCCTAAACGGATTCTCAGCTTGTCTGCGTGGTGGTGGTATAACTTCTGTTTCCCCGAAGTGGGCCTCTGTTTACATCCATTTCATAACATAGCTGCGGGTAACACGGAAGCTAATGAAGAGATAGAGGAAGTTTTTAATATCATCCTGAAGAAACCTGCCAGGGGGACTGTTAGCGACCGGCTGACCCCTCTGGAGTGGTTTCATGGGGATTAAATTCGAAGAATGTGTCGTCTCTCCAAGGACACTGTCTAAGACTTAGTGCGTACAATGGAGCTGCAACTGACACATGATACTGATCATAATGACGCATTGTCGAGTGTCCGCCATCATCCAGTGTTGCAGTTCCGTGCGGATTCTTGCTGGAGGCGCAATTCAAACAATGGCTGGTGACCTCATCTATGTCCATCAGTCCACCACAAGGCGACGTTTTGAACGCTTTCTGGGAACAATTTCAGCGAGGGTGAAAACTCTGACAACGTTTGACACAGTTCCAGCATGTTTTGGGGCTGCATGACGGCCAAGAATCTCGGATATGGATGTCAAATACGAAGAAGGATATACACTGCCAAGAAAAAAAGGCACATCAAGAAGGAGTTGATAGATCTTGATAAAATTTGGTAATCGTACTCGTACGTGGGGAGGTCGGAAAGTTCGCGGATTTTCACATTTTTCGGCGCCATTGAGTGATGAGTGATTGTGGCCATTCAATTGATATCTCTAGAGCCCTTTCAACATTTTTTTTCGAATTTTTAATACCGTACAGAAAGATGGAGACCCGTCAGAAGCGAGACGGTGCTGTGAATGTTCGCGAGACTGAAATTTTCGGCGGAACAAAAACGAGTGATCCTCCTCTACCATTTTTGAAGCGGTTTGAAACCGCAACAGGCGTTCGAAGAGATGAAGAAGAACATCGGGGACGATGCTCCAGGCAGGACCATGGTCTTCAAGTGGTTTCAACGATTCGAAGCTGGTCATTTCGAAGTCACCGATGATCCACGAAGTGGGCGTCCAAGAACTTCGACAGACGACGGAATGGTTGCTGCCGTGGCAAAATTCCTGGAAGAAGAACCCTCTGCGACCACAAAACGACTTGCCGACGTCTTTCGAGTCTCAAAAACGTCGATTTCGTCCATTCTTCATGACCAACTTGACTACTCAGAGAAATCTGCTCGTTGGGTTCCACGTCTTCTGAAACCGGAGAAGGAGGCCAGGGTGAACTTCTGCAAGAAGTTCCTGGAGGATTTTGAAGACGGAAATTC